CTACATACGGTAGCCCATGGCAACCCACTGCCACAGGGGCTGCAGCCTACGCCGTCGCCGGCGACTCACAGCAGCCCAGCTCCAGGTCGAGCTGTCGTCCAGCATCTTAGCTGTGGAGGGCAGTGTCACTGGCCCTCACATGTGGGATCCGAACCGGGGCCCTCTGGCATCCCAAGCCAGCTCCCAACCACCGCGCCACTCGGCCGGCCCTCCCTGAAGAATTTTTAATTGTAGGGTCCGAGTGAATTTAGGCCTTGAGTAGTCTCAGAATTCCTACTTTCTCAGGCACTTCATTTTCTGCTAGAATGGTGGTAGCTGTGGCCACTGAGTGGCACCTGAAGCAGTCTCTAACCTAAGTAATCACAATCTTTGATTTACTGATTCATTTTATTAAAAAACAGGGTTCTATGTGAAGCTCTTTTTCCTCTCACTGCTACATGTAATTGGTGCTGCTTATAGAATTCTTTTCAAAAAAATGAATGAAAAGTAACTACCTTGACTTAGACAAAATTTTCTCCCTTCAAGTCTATTCTAAATTTGTTTCTTGCCCACTTTTCTACAGCGATGTGATAGCTTAGTGTATACACATAGTTGTATTTATACGTATTATAGTAACCATGTTTTCTAAATTAAAAATTGATGCAAGTACTCTAACATATTCTTAATTACAATTTTTATTTAAATATCTTCTAAAAATATTTTCAAATAACAGATAACATTTTAATTTATTTATACTTATTCATACAAAGTCACAAAAATGAAATAGCATGGGTGGGGAGAAGAGCTTTTTATATTAGGAACATCCTTGAAACTTTGGGTTACAGGTTTACCTGTAACCTTTCTACTGTATCTGGTAGGAATGGACCTCAATATTAAATTTTCTTTTTTTAAATATTTTATTGGGGAATTGGGGAATGGGAACAGATAAGTTGCTGTCCTTTTGTTCTTCAGTCTAGTTGTGGAGGACCTTGCTTCATTGGCCCAAGTTGGCACCATCATTGCGCTTTTCCTGGACGAGGCAGATCAGTCACCGGCTTCTGGAGGGCCGCTCACAGCGGCTTGAGGGCCGCTCACGCTGGCTGCTGGCCGCTCACGCTGGCTGCTGGCTACACATGGTAGCCCATGGCAACCCACTGCCACAGGGGCTGCAGCCCACGCCGTTGCCGGCGACTCCCGGCAGCCCAGCTCCAGGTTGAGCTGTTGTTCAGCATCTTAGCTGTGCAGGGCGGTGTCACTGGCCCTCATATGTGGGATCCAAACCGGGGCCCTCTGGCATCCCAAGCCAGCTCTTAACCACCGCACCGCTCAGCCGGCCCTCAATATTAAAATTTTTATATAGAGCACATAAGTAAAAATTTGAAGCAGACACATTAAACCTTTGATAGATCTGCATGAGCAGCTAAAGAATCACTCTGCTGTTTTTAACATCATGGTAAAAATTAGGGGTAAATAAGTTTGTGATTTATATTTAAATGTTTATGAACATGACTAAGACTGTCACACTTTCCACAGCCCTACAAAATAACCTTATATTTGTTATTAGCTTCATTTCTGTGAAAACAGAAATTCTGAAAATTACTTATGGATATCTGATATTTGGAGGATGTTGTCAGAAGTGAACCTGTTTTATAGGCCCCAGGCCTATGTCAGACTCATCGGATGGGTCCATGTCATGGGCATTTCTTTTCCTTATTGTGCAGTTCTGCTTTTATTCCTTCCTAAGTTCCTAATAATGTAAGGAAGCTAATTCCAGCTCCCTTATAGAGCCGTATTGCTATAAAAGAGAGTTAGCATTCACATTACTTTGCAGAATAGTAATGAAAATTCAAAAGCTTGGTGGGTTTTGGAAGGCAGTTATATAATATTAAAGTATTTTCTCTAAATGATTTGATCATTTTTACAGTATGGATTCATTCATAGGATTTCCAGGAGAGTTCCAATTTAATAGTAACGGCAATAATTACTAAATAAGTGAGTATAATGCATATATATATATATATATATATGCATTATATATAATGTTATATATATACACACACATATAAACTTACAAGTACTGTATTTTGTATCATAGCACAATTCTAGTTCTGCACTTAACTATTTTTTATTTTTATTTTTTTAGAACACTGGTGTTTGCATTTAATGAGGAACAAAAACTGAAGGAGGAGGAGCAGGACAGTGACTGAGGGTTCGCGCCGCTTGCCGCTGCAGACCTCCACGTTAAGGAATTCTGCTGCTGCCTCTTGCTTAGGAGTTGATCAGCTCTGTGATCAGACTGCATAGGAGGGAGCCTGCCTTTTATCTTGTCATTGTCAGAAGAAATCGTGGTCGGAATGTAACAGTACATCACTGTTTAATTGCTATGGAAGGTGGTGAACTGACTCTCACTTATTAAAGTTACATCTCACTCACCCACAGAAAACCATTTTTTAAAGTGAATAGAAACCAAGCCCTTGTGAACACTTCTATTGAACATGACTCATGGAGAAGAGCTTGGCTCTGATGTGCACCAGGATTCTATTGTTTTAACTTACCTAGAAGGATTACTAATGCATCAGGCAGCAGAGGGATCAGGTACTGCCGTCGACAAAAAGTCTGCTGGGCGTAATGAAGAAGATCAGAACTTTAGCATTTCTGGTAATGCCTTCCCCACCTGCCCAAGTAATGGTCCAGTTCTCAACACACATGCATATCAGGGATCTGGCATGCTGCATCTCAAAAAAGCCAGACTGTTGCAGTCTTCTGAGGACTGGAATGCAGCGAAGCGGAAGAGGCTGTCTGACTCCATTGTAAATCTGAACGTCAAGAAGGAAGCTTTGCTCGCTGGCATGGTGGACAGTGTGCCCAAAGGCAAGCAGGACAGCACGTTGCTGGCCTCTCTGCTTCAGTCGTTCAGCTCGAGGCTGCAGACTGTTGCTCTGTCGCAACAAATTAGGCAGAGCCTCAAGGAGCAAGGATATGCCCTTAGCCACGATTCTTTAAAAGTGGAGAAAGATTTAAGGTGCTACGGTGTTGCATCAAGTCACTTAAAAACTTTGTTGAAAAAAAGTAAAGCTAAAGAGCAAAAGCCTGATACCAATCTTCCTGACGTGACTAAGAACCTCATCAGAGATAGGTTCGTAGAGTCACCTCATCATGTTGGACAAAGTGGAGCAAAGGTCATGAGTGAACCCTTGTCATGTGCTGCAAGATTACAGGCTGTTGCAAGCATGGTGGAAAAAAGGGCGAGTCCTGCCACTTCACCCAAACCTAGTGTCGCTTGTAGTCAGCTAGCATTACTCCTTTCAAGTGAAGCCCATTTACAGCAGTATTCTCGGGAACATGCTTTAAAAACACAAAACGCAAACCAAGCGGCAAGTGAAAGACTTGCTGCTATGGCCAGATTACAAGAAAATGGCCAGAAGGATGTTGGCAGTTTCCAGCTCTCAAAAGGAATGTCAAGCCATCTTAATGGTCAAACAAGGACACCATCAAGCAAATTAATGGCCAGCAAAAGTACATTTCAAAACCCAATGGGTATCGTTCCTTCTTCCCCCAAAAATGCAGGCTATAAGAACTCACCGGAAAGAAACAACGTAAAACAAGCTGCTAATAATAGTTTGCTTTTACATCTTCTTAAAAGCCAGACCATACCTAAGCCAACGAATGGACACAGTCACAGTGAGAGAGGAAGCCTTTTTGAGGATAGTAGCACGCCTACAACTCTTGATGAATACTCAGATAACAATCCTAGCTTTACTGATGATAGCAGTGGTGACGAAAGTTCTTACTCCAACTGTGTTCCCATAGACTTGTCTTGCAAACACAGAACTGAAAAACCAGAACCCAGCCAACCTGTTTCTCTGGATAACTTAACTCAATCCTTGCTCAACACCTGGGATCCCAAAGTCCCTGACGTAGATATCAAAGATCAAGATACCTCAAAGAATTCTAAGCTCAGCTCACACCAGAAAGTAACACTTCTTCAATTGCTACTTGGCCACAAGAATGATGAAAATGTAGAAAGAAACAACAGCCCTCAGGAAGTACAGAGCGATGTGACAAAGTTCAGCACACAGACTTACATGAGGACTTCTGTCATAGAAAGCCCCAGCACACACAGGACTACTCCAGTCAGCACTCCGCCGTTACTTGCATCCACCAAAGCAGAATCTCCCATCAACCTCTCCCAGCATTCTCTGGTCATCAAATGGAATTCTCCACCATACGCCAGTGGCACTCAGTCTGACAAGCCAGCGAATACCGTATCGAACCACTTGATGGACCTTACAAAAAGCAAAGAATCGCAAGGAGAGAAACCAGTCCAAAATGAAGGTGCACAAAACTCTGCCACTTTCAGTGCCAGTAAACTGTTACAGAATTTAGCGCAATGTGGAATGCAGTCTTCCACTTCAGGGGAAGAGCAGAGACCCAGTAAGCAGCTGCTGAGTGTAAATACAGATAAACCCATGGGTATGATCGATAGATTAAGTAGCCCTCTGCTCTCAAATAAAACAAATGCAGTTGAAGAAAATAAAGCATTCAGTAGTCAAGCGACAGGTTCTGAACCAAGACTTTCTGGTTCTGAAATAGAAAATCTGCTCGAAAGGCGCACTGTCCTCCAGTTGCTCCTGGGAAACCCCAACAAAGGGAAGAGTGAAAAGAAAGAGAAAATCCCTTTAAGAGATGAAAGTACTCAGGAACATGCAGATAGAGCTTTAAGTGAACAAATATTGATGGTAAAAATAAAATCTGAGCCTTGCGATGACTTACACATTCATAATACAGATGTGCACTTGAGCCATGATGCGAAGGGCGCCCCATTCTTAGGTATGGCTCCTCCCGTGCAGAGAAGCGCAGCTGCCTTACCAGCTCCCGAGGACTTTAAATCGGAGCCCATTTCACCTCAGGATTTTTCTTTCTCAAAGAATGGCCTGTTAAGTCGATTGCTGAGGCAGAATCAAGAGAGTTACCTGGCAGATGATCTGGACAACAGTCACAGAAATAGTGAACTGGCACTCTTAGAATCAAAGAATCTTTACATGGTCCCTAAGAAAAGGAAGCTTTATGCTGAGCCATTAGAAAATCCACTTAAAAAGATGAAAAATCACGTAGTCGATGCTGCAAGCAGCCCCAGTGCTCCAGAGGTCCTGTATGGATCCTTGGTTAACCAGCAAGAGCTGAAACTGAGCAGAAATGATCTCGAATTTAAGTATCCGGCCAGTCATGGGTTGGCCAGTGAAAGTGAGCATAGGAGCTGGGCCAGAGAGAGCAAAAGCTTCAATGTTCTGAAACAGCTGCTCCTCTCAGAAAACTGTGTGAGAGATTTGTCCCAGCCCAGGAGTAACTCTGTCATTGAGAGTAAAAAGAAAGGACACAAAAATAATGTGACCAATAGCAAACCTGAATTCAGCATTTCTTCTTTGAATGGACTGATGTACAGTTCCACTCAGCCCAACAGTTGCATGGATAACAGGACATTTCCATACCCAGGAGTGGTAAAAACTCCCATGAGTCCTCCTTTTCCTGAGCAGCCCTTGGGCATTGCGGGGTCGAGACCAGAATGTGGGCTTTTGAATGGGTGTTCCATGCCCAGTGAGAAGGGACCCATTAAGTGGGTCATTACAGATGTGGATAAGAATGAGTATGAAAAAGACTCTCCGAGACTGACCAAAACTAACCCGATACTGTATTACATGCTCCAGAAAGGAGGCAATTCTGTTACCAGTCGAGAAACACAGGACAGGGACATTTGGAGGGAGCCTTCATCTGCTGAAAGTGTCTCACAGGTTACAGTCAAAGAAGAGTTACTTCCTGCTGCAGAAACTAAAGCTTCTTTCTTTAATTTAAGAAGCCCTTATAATAGCCATATGGGAAATAATGTCTCTTGCCCACACAGCACAAATGGAGAAGTTTATGGACTTCTGGGAAACGTGCTAACAATAAAAAAAGAATCAGAATGAAATGTACCTGCCATTCAGCTTTGGGTCTTTTTAAAACTAATTAGTATGAACTTGACATCTGTATAAATAAGAGCATGATTTGAGAAAAGCATGGTATAATTGAAACTTTCATTTCTAAAAGTATTGGTTACTGGTGATGTTTAAATATGCATACTACTTTTTGCTTTATGTTAGATGTCATGAGGAAACTACTGAACTAGCAATTGGTTGTTTAACACTTCTGTATGCATCAGACAACTGTGAGTAACCTATGAATTAAATTCTTTATAATCACACATAATAGGCATAAATTAAAATATAAATTTCCATCCATAGTGGATTAATGCATTTTGCTGCCTTTAGTGGGGTACTTTATTTTGCTTTCAGAAGTCAGCTTACATAACACATTTTTTAAAGTCCAAATTGTTAATAACTCTTTAAAGGATAATTATTGAATAAAATACCTAGTGCCGATTCACTTTTCATTATCCGATTCAAAGATAAAGTAGAAAATATATGCTTACGTTTTTCACTTTTGCTAAAAAACGTATTTATTTTTAACCCTTGGAAAGGGTTTTGTGGTTCCCAATGTGTCAGCCCACCCTAGTCCTTTTCAATATGTATTTCTTTAAACCTTGTACTACTTAGTAAAAATTGATTACAATTGATGGAAGTTTGATAGATCCTTAAAAAAAAAGGCAGATTTCCATTTTTGTATTTTAACTACTTTATTAAATTAATATTCCTCCTTTTACAAAATTAGGAAAGTTAACATTTATCTTCAGATGGTTTCCTGAATAGTTAATATTTAAGGAGTTGTTTTTAACAGAAGCAAAATGGCTTTTCTTTGGATAGTTTTCACCATCTCTTGTAAGAGTTACTTATTGCCATTACTGTGGTACCTGTGAGTCTTAGGGCGGGGGTTTCCTAAAGCTGGACTCAGACCACCCGCGTTAGAATCATCTGGGGCATTTGTTTTTAAAATGCAGATTCCTAGGCAGCATCTCAGCTCTACAGAACAAGAATCTCTGCTAAGCGGACCTGGGAACCTTCATCTGCATTTAAGAAGAAACTCCCTAGGTGTTTCTTCTACACACTGAAGTTGGAGAACCATTGCTTATAACTAACTTTTCTCAGAACACAGGACTGTAAAAAAAACTATTTGATGCCTGTATTTTCCCCAGTACAGTCACACATCAACTAAATATTTGCAATATTGTAGTTCATATATTACCGTTATATCTTTGGATATCGGGTTCAGAACACTTTTTATGACAAAAATACTGGGTGGAGGGGACAACTTTCATATCTGGCTCAACATCTCAGGAAAATCTGATTATTTTTGTGTTCTAATGAATAACATCTACTTAACTAGCCTTAGGGATGGAAAACAGGGCCACTTAACCAAACTCAGGTGATTCCAGGATGGTTTGGAAACTTCTCCTGAAAACATCCTTAACTTCTATTAAAATCATTGTCCTAAGAACAATGCTGACAAAGATGAAAACATTTATTTCAAACCCAAGAAAGGCACTAAACTCAGATCGATTAAACAGAAAAGTACAAAGGGCACATATACTTGACAGAAGAGAATTGTACACAGTCACTCCATTGATCTGTTATTTTTAAAATAGTGGTTAAAATTAGTAAACAATGATTTTTTTGTCTTGGAAGAACTTATTGAGCCACATGGGGTTTCAATCATGAAACAAGTCTGTTTTTTTAAGTTCAGTTTTTATAACCCACAATTCATTCACCAGATATTTTTGTTTTTAATTTTGAACCAGGTTAGCAACTGATCTATCAAAAAAAAAAATGTTATATAATCAACTGTTATTAGAAGGAAATCTATTTGAAGTTGTTCTACTTGAAGTTATTTCTAAGATTTTTATATTAATGAGTGTTATTTCTTAATATGATCTAAAACCCTAAATGATTATTTTTTTTCTCAAAATGATTTGTAAATAGGTACTGGATATATTGTAAAATAATAGTCAGGAGTGCTACATCATGGAGAGATGAAGGCGTATGTTTATTCTGAAATGAAAATTCCACTGGCCAATGAATATAATCTACTCCATCCCATATTTACTGTGTGGCAATCTTATTGTCGACACTATATAAATAAACTTTTAAACAAGTCTTTTTTTTTCTGCCATTGTAAAAGATCTGGAGCGTTAGAGATATACTAGAAAAAATGGGCTTTTACAAGGAGGTGAAATTTAGGTCAGGGAAAAGAATATCAAGGGCCAGCATTGCTATTTGGTTTGTTTGTTTGGGTGGGTGGTTGGTTGTTTTTGTCGTTTACAGTTAAAGGAATGAAGATATGTAATACATAAATAAACATAACCACACAGAATGCTATTCTGATTTACTAGAGAATGTCCCCAGTTTGATTTCAGGATGATTTTAAAGAACAGAAAAGGCATACATCCATAAATTATCTTTGTTTATGCATATGTAGATAAAGGATACACACTTTCAAGGACTATTTTAAATATCTAGATAAGTTCTTCCTAATAAATTCATTTGTGAAAGGGTACTACAGCTCTCATTGACATCAGTAAGGTAGCATTACCTGTTTATTCTCTGCTGCATCTTACGGAAGAGTAAACTGGTGAGAGTATATATTTTATATATATATATATATATATAATTGTGTGTGTATATATATATATATATATATGTATATGTATATATATATATATATATAGACTTGTTACATGAAGATGTTAAAATCGGTTTTTAAAGGTGATGTAAATAATGATTTCCTTAATGAAAAATACATATTTTGTATTGTTCCAATGCAACAGAAAAGCCTTCTAATCTCTTTGGTTTCTGTATATTCCATGTATAAGTGTAAATATAATCAGACAGGTTTAAAAATTGTGCATGTATGTATACAGTTGCAAGTCTGGACAAAATGTATAGAATAAACCTTTTATTTAAGTTGTGATTACCTGCTGCATGAAAAGTGCATGGGGGACCCTGTGCATCTGTGCATTTGGCAAAATGTCTTAAGTCAAATCAGATGTTCATCCCAACATGACAGTATTCCATTTCTGGACATGACTTCTGTGGTTTAAGCTTTGTGAAAGAATGTGCTTTGAATCCAAGGGTCTTAAAATTTTTTAAATCAAGTCAACCACTTTTCAACATAGAGAGTCCACACAACTACTTTCATGAATTTTTTAATCCCATTGGAAATGTAATATTATACCAGGAGTATTCCAAGATACTGGAATACAGGCACATTACCATTCATGGTATGAATTCTGGGGTTTACACAGCCAATTTTGATGTGATCTACTCAGTAATATAATTTGTCATTTTTATTAGAAACTTAATTTCTTCATGTGATGTCATGAAACTGTACATATTGCAGTGTGAATTTTTTTGTTTTGTTTTTTAATCTTTTAGCGTTTACTTCCTGCAGTGAATTTGAATAAATGAGAAAAAAATGCATTATCTCTGGTTCCAAACGACTGTTATTGTGTGGATTTTTCTCTGGTTTTTAGGTTTTCCATAAACATAAAAGTCTCTGGTCATGAAAATAGCAGTAAGTTTCCAGGATGCTTTGCCCTTCTCAGAAACATAAAATAACAAAAGAAGAAGGCGCCTGTGAGTCACTGTATCTAGAGATAGGGCAGTTGAAGCATAGCTCACGAAGATGGCCTTTGGCCGGCACTGCCTGGCCTGGATTCTGTACTCGATGTGTGACTGGAATGACCACTGTAGATTTTTCGAGGGGGAAAGAGTCTGTCCCGTGTTCAAAAATAAAGTGATTTGATATATATTTGTTCTAAGATAATGTTTTATTAGAAGGTGTTTTTTTTTATCCAAGTTTCAGTGGGTGTTAAGTTTATTTTAAATAAAAGAAATACAGTAAAACCTTGGGTTGCGAGTAACTTGGTTTGCGAGTGTTCTGTAAGATAAGCAAACATTTGTAATACATTTTAACTTGGTAAACGAGTGATGTCTTGCAATACGAGTAGTTTGTTCTGGAATGAATTATGCTTGCAAATCAAGTACATTTTAATTTGGTAAACAAGCAATGTCTTGCAATACGAGTAGTTTGTTTCCGGAACGAATTATGCTCGCAAACCAAGGTATTACTGGAAGGCCTTCAGTCATTTTTCAAAAATGAATGCACATGCACACATACATATGTATATATATACTGTATGTGTACAGATAATAAGCTGAGAATAAGTGATACACCTATGTAATAAGTAATAAAGACCAATTTATTTTAAAAAAGAAAAACTATTTGGGAACTGATGGCCTGGGAATTTTTATTTTTACAAATACATTATCAATGATAGTTTAGGAGAAAGACATTTTCCCAAAGATGAGTTTCTATTTTCTGACACTAAAATAGGCCTATTATAATCTAACAGTGAAAATCTTGCAGCTTCTCTCCTAACAAGCTTATAAACAATGCCTAAAAAATACCCAAGTAATAGAAATATGTCCAGCTTTTCTACATTATAAAAATACTGAAAAGTTACACCTTGCTGTGTGTGTAGACACTGTCATCAGAATCAGAGATGCACAGCCGTGTTTTATTTATTGGTTTATATGGTGGAAAAAATATAACTGTGTCAAGGAATAAGGTGTCTAAGAGGGGTTTTAAGAAGAGAACCAACCACCAGTTAGTAATATGGAGGGTCTTTAATGATCAAATCCGATTATGATCACTCATGCTATGCACAGTTCTACTTCAAGCTTGTTAATGTGGAAATCTCAATTTTGAAAATTTTCTTAGACCATTGATATCACTAAACTATGACCTGTTTGGTTACAGAAAATAGGTTATAAATGTTTATTAAACATGCCATGTTTTGTTTATTCCATAAAACGAGAAGTATCTAATAGCACCTTGTAAGGGTTGATGGAGGAATCTATCTGTTAGCATCATTTAGCATTAATTTACTACTTTGTGTCTCTAAATGTTTGGTACAATAATATTTACAACATGCCATCTCCTTAGGTAAGTGAAATAACAGGATTAATACACTCTTCAGTTGGTAGCAGAATAATTGGAAATACAATTCAAATCCCATAGATTCCAGTCCCAGGGAAGTGCTACAGCACTTATGTCCTCTTTGAAGAGTCTAAAAGTAAACCTTTCCAACAATAACCCAAATTTTAAGTAGTATAATTCTGCAGTGAGAAGAAGAGGATTTTTGAGCCATTCCTGTTTTTTTACAGCCCTTTTATTGGCTCAGACCTAGACAGTCTTCAATTTTTCAGTCTTTGCTTTTATCAGACCTCATGGTAGGTGCTCTAAACTTTGAGAAGTTGGCAATCCTTTTGGACTGTTTTGCTCATTTTTGCTGATAAACATTCCCCTCCGAGATCACATCTGGACGAGGAAATGATGCAGTATTGTATCATTTGTATGGGTGTCAGCCTTGTATTTTTTGAAAGCCACACCAACAGGGCCACATGGTGGGTACATTTTTCTGAGATTGTATTTTCCCTTAGCTAATTGATATGGAATAATTTAAGGATAGAACAATGAGGTGATTTTCTTACAATTAAAAAACTAGTTTCCTCCAAACTCTGGAAGGGTTGAATCTGACAGCCATTGTAGCTACTCTTCATAAACAAGCTGCAAATCCTTGTAAGACTTCTAGCACCATGTTGGGTGTGCCAGTTAGCCTTGCTATATTTTGTAGTGTTCCCTTTGACTTCTGACCTTGCCTGCATTTTCACATTTTGAGTCATTTGCCCACCACCTAACACCTTACTGCCAATCAGCACCAATCATTCCAGTGCTCAAACCTTCCCTTCACTGTTTCCTGAACATATCAGCCTTCTTGGCACTAGTGCCTTCAGTCATGTAACAACATTCTCTGACTAAAATACTCCCTTCCATTGCTCTCTATTCCTTGTAAACTTCTCTTTGCCTTTAAATATTTAAGAAGATTACCTCCTCAAAGTAGCCCTCCCTCTGTGATTCCTCTAGGCAAAGAAAGCATGGTGCTCAGCCCTCTACAATCCCATAATGTTTTTTGTGGAGCTTCCTTATTGCACCCATTAGAGTAGTGAACAACATACCTCGTTTTTCTTCTAAAGGCAGGTAGTGTGTCATCTCAGTCTCCTTATATTCAGTACCAAGTCCAAATCCTGATACATAGCACTGTAATAAATAAATGCCCAATCAGAGAATGAATGAAAGATGATCTCTTCACACGCACAAAAATGAAAGGCTGCCTCCCCCTCCCTGGTCTCCCAAGCCAACAAGGTGATTTATAAGATAGGGACACATCTATTTCCCTAAAGCAATGCCCAGCCTCCCAGCCACCTCTAGTCCTTAGGGTTCATGATCTCTGTGAGCCAACCCAGACATTCTTCCTCTGCCTTGTCTAATAAATGCTATCTGCTGGAAATTCCTGATAAGAGGAACAGGTTCTTGAAAGGAAAATAGGAACTTCAAGAGTTTTGTCAATAAAGGGGACTAGTTTACCGTATCTTCCTACAAATAGCAGTGAGCATCTTAGAAGCTTTGCCTTTAGCTGGGAAGCTATCAACTTTTCCAAATATTACTGTGCTCAGATAGGCCTGAGACAAGAAAGTGTGGCCTCTCCTCACAGTCATGAATATACAAGGTGTGATCAAACTATGGTGAATGTTTAAATAAAAAAATTATTACAGTAAGACACACTGCCATTAATCCCCCTTAAAATACTCCCCCTCACTTTGAACACACATATCCCATCGTTCTTGCCACTTTCTAAAGCAGTTCTGGAAGTCACTTTCGTGAGTGTCTTTAGTTGCATTGTCGTGGCTGCCTCAATGGCCAGAATCATTTTTACTTTGGGGAAGAACCAGAAGTCGCACAGTGCCAGATCTGGTGAATAAGGTGGATGAGGACACACCATAATGTTTTTATTTGACAGAAATTGCCATATACCAGAAGCGATGTGTGACACAGAGTGTTGTCATGGAGGATGATTTACAGCACACTTTAAAACATACCTTCTCTCAACTGTAACTCACACCCAACTGACTGCATGGAACAAGTTGAAACTTGTCACACACTGTTACTAAGGTTTGATGGGTGCCGCTTCCCGTATTGAAGATCCCTGCCTTTCCTTTGGATGTCACTTGGCAGCAGCATTCACCATATTTTCTGTTCACAACGGAAAGCACTTCTGGTACGGCAATCTCTGTCAAATAAAAACAGTACAGTGTGTCCTCATTCACCTTATTCACTGGACCTGGCACCGTGCGACTTCTGTCTCTTCCCCAAAGTCAAAATGACGATGAAAGGTAAACATTTTGAATCAATTCAGGACATCGAGGCAGCCCAACAGCACAACTAAAGGCACGAAAGAAGACTTCCGAAACTGCTTCAGAAAATGGCAAGAGCGATGGAATAAGTGTTTTTGAAATGAGGGGAATTAATTGCAATGTGTCTTTTACTGTAATATTTTTTTAATTAAACATTCACCGTGTTGTTTGATCACACCTTGTATGTTCGTGCTCCAAAGGGCTACATTCTCCTGAACTACCCAGAACTACCCAGGCAGAACATGCTGTCTCTGTGAGAGTGGCACAACTAACTCCTTGGTAAGACCCTCACTAGGGTAAGAGCTGGAATTATCATTAAGCTATTTCAGGTCCTCAGAGAAAATTGGGTCCCTGTGGTGTGGAAATGCAAGAAACCAGTGCCACATATAAACTTGTCCACTAGCATGAACATTCATTAGAGGTCTTTGGTGGTGGCAACTTAGTTAAGAGTATTAGAAAAGTAACACATTTGTTCCACTAATTAAGGACCATCAGTAGGTCCTGAATAAAGGTGTGTTAAATTGATGTGAAAGCAGACACTCATTTCTTTCATATGTGTGGAACTGTGCCTGATAGATGTAATTTCTTTTTATTCTGATATAAAATGAATGTAATAAACATTTTTTTAAACTGTTGAATTTTATTTTTCCAGAAGAAAATACATTTCCTATTCCCAACCCCCAAGAGAGTAATTAAGGTCTTGGTTGAAATCAAACTTGTTATATGTCCAAGTGGCAGTGGAAAATCCAAATGCAAAGCATATTCAGAATGAGGAGATTGATTTGCAGTAGGGATAGAATTCTTCCCTTTCCCTAGCCAAGTGGGACTGATAAAACATGACTCATTGTGATTTCTGCCCAGTATAAGGCCATGGGGAAGAAACAGATGGAAATGTCTGGCTTCCAGAGTGTCTTTCTCAAATAAAGGGGACGTTTTCACGAGGGTGTTTATGTAATCAGAGGGACCTTAGAGAGGGTTAGATGTATTTAGAGGGAGGATGGAGAAATTTGAAACACAGTGTCCCTAGTTTTGCTAAGGAAGCGGGGACCCTCCCTAAGCTGTTCTCTTCCTATGAGCTCCTTTCTAGCTTGAGCAAATCAAGAAGGCTTCTAATCTTAGCTATATTAATAGAGGGCAATCATACGCATACTTGCATCAAAGGAAAG